TACTGCATTGGACGACGTCCACGACACTGCTCTGTCGTGACGACAGAGCATGCCAAACACATGTATTTACTGTTTCAGCACACAGCAAATCATTTGACTTGACTTCTGTATCCTTTTGACCTTCTGAGTGTCGCAATTAGACATAATCGACGATTAGAGGTCACAGTAGAAAAGGGACCAGCCGCGCTTCGCTTGGCTGGGCGCCGAAGGGGCAGCGAACCGCGGCGGTTCGCTGCGCTCGCAATATGGAGATAGAATGTTCTGGAAAGTGTAGTGCTCGGCTCGCTGGTGAGCTCAGCGCTGGGCCCGCCTCGCACCCGCTCACCTTAGTTGGCGCCGCGGCTATGGCACCCACGTCGCCCAGGCTGGGCGACCAGTGTTGACAGTCGGGGACTAATCGTTTTGACCTGGCCTGGTCAAAATTGGGTTTTAACAAGGGTTTTCGGCCAATCGGCCATTAATAAAGGCCACGGCTATTGGATTATATGATTATAGAGGTTTAAGCTGGTTATAAAGCTTGGTAGGTTTCGCTTTACACTACGATTTAGCACAGAAATATGATATTTTAATAACATCGGGTGTTAAGGCTTGGAACTCTTATATGCCAGCTTGGCACGCTGGAGAATGCATAACGCCGTCCATGTATGTCACCACTACCGCGTGGGACTGATGCACGTGCTTGACAGGGACGATCTCGAGCTGCGTAATCTTCGGCGCCTCACGCAGCCACGCACGGACGCGAGCAGCTTCAGCGTATGGTTCGACTTCTTCACTGCAAAGAATTGCTCTCGTCGAAGTTGTAGTTCTCTAACGAACGCATTCTTACACGAACGGTCGGTCTACAGCGGTGTTTTGTCCAGGCTACATGGTCGACACAGGAGAGCTTATTAGCAGCTGAAGCTTGCCCAGGTGAAGGTCGGCCTGGTTGGACGAGATCCAGACGCATTTGAGGCGCTTCAGACGTCTTCTGTCGCCTCCAGCGTAGCGATACGTCTGGTTAAAGCTGCGTTCTCTACAGTCCAACATCATCCCAGTCCACTGCTCGTCGTCCTTTCTTGTCGGTAGTCTTCAGTGTAGATGCATGCCTGTGACGTTGCAATACTTGGACGGGATCGCGCAGTTAGGGCTCTTCGTCGGACAGGAATGCACGGAGAAAGACGGCGTGTAGTTTAGCTTTCAGCTTCGCTAAAGTGTGACTGCTTCTGCTCACAGGTGTCGTGTCCTAGCAGCACGTGACGCGCTTGAGCGCCGAAACTTTGCATCCACTCTGCGTGGGTGACGCAGCACGTCGAGACTTCCGAGAAAAAAACACCACTTCCGCTTGGACTTGATCCTGTCTCAATGTATCTGCTAAAGCCAACAAGCGCATCCATGTGCGCAGTAGGCGCTGATAACAGCACATAATCACTCAATTACACCTTCTCATAGGGCAGCTTTACGCCCTTGCTCGTCGTTTTGATGGTGGCGTGGAGTCGAGGGACTCTGGTGTAACGTCCAAATCATTTTCCTTTGGGTACACCGAGCGACGCTAGTACTGTACATATATTGATAACAGTACAGATACAGTCTAAATATTATTAGAAGATTTACTAAATACTACGAAGTTTATCACACAAGAAATAGAGATTGTTTGTTGTACAGTACTGATAATCTTGACGATCCCGGTGATCTCGCGGATGCGAAGGAGACCCTGGAACTGTGAAAAGAGGTTCTTGACTATTTCAAGACGATGAGATCAGTACCGAATACGCTCGTTCAAAAGAAAATGTTGACGAGGTGAAGGTGAGCGAGCTCGAATCCATACCGCATTCAGTCAGAATTCCGTTCCCAAACGAAAACCAGGCCGACTTTCCTCGTGAGAATACCATTCACGGGATTCGAGCCGTGAAAGTGCCATTAGCAGATCTTTTCGCTGAGTAGTAGAGTTGAATATTCCTTTACGTACGTCCCATTACAGCTTCTTCGACGTTCATCAGCGCTACATCCAGCTGCAAAGTCTCACAACAGCCGTCGTCATCTCCATCACAACGAATATGTCACGAACAAAACGAGCGGCGGTCTTCATTTGCATTCGTCTAGATCAGATATAGCTTCTTGTGTACTTGCCGGCCTTGGCAGCCGAGAACTGCGATACGATGTGGGCGCTCTCCGCACAAGTTTACTTGGTAGTAAGCAGACCTTCCACGCCCAAGGGGCCATTGCCGTGAATGCGGCCAGTACTGATACCAACCTCAGCGCCAAGACCGAAGCGGTAGCCGCCAGCAAAGCGAGGGCTGGTGTTGTGGAGCACGCACGCGCTGTCGACCATCAGCTGGAACGGCTCGGCAGCAGTGGCGTCCGTTGCACTCTGTGTGGCCACTGCTGTACTGGTTGATGTGAGCAACGACAGCACTAACATTGTTGACCATCTCGATTGTAAGGTCCGTGGAGCCGAGCTCTGTAGACAGCGTGTCTGGAGAGCGCGACTAGACAGTAGCAACGCTTAACTTGCCAACGTAGGGGTGATGTGCAGGTTGGCGCCAGCCTCTCCAAGCTTTACCAGGATCTCCTCGTCCTACCCTTTGCTCGCCAGCTATTTATCGAGCAAGAACATCTCAAGTGCATTACAACCTGCGAGGTAGTCCGTCATGGCGTCAACTACGAGCTCAATGGCCTTCTTCACATCATCTGCACTGGGAATGTACGTACGTAGCAATCTAAGACGTAGATTGGGTCCATTTCAGTGTACTCGGCTCTAGGGATCTGTGTATTGGTAACAGCAGCAACACTTGAGCGTCTCTAGCATGGTCGGGCCCTTCTCTCCGTCGTCCAAGACCGCTGCTGTTGGCAGTGTGAGCTCTTCTAATGAAGTGAGCGTGGGGTCACTGGAATGTACGAGACGATTATAATGCTATCCTGTTCCAGTTCGGCGGGATTTGGCGCAACAACATCGTCTATGGGCTCCTACAGTGGCTGTTGAGGAGGATACGCTGCGTGCTGGATCGCTAGCGAACGCAATGGCAAAATGTGCGCGCTGGACGCGTATCCGTTTGCTTCAGAGAACGGCAATATGGCAAGCTACTTGACGAATTCCTGCCCAGAATTTGAAGTTGGTGTGACCGGTTACGAACCCGTTCGTGAAGATCCTGGCGCGGTTGAGGATGCCGTGCGCAATCAATGTCGACCTTCCTGTACAGCGATCGACTGCTTTCCAGTACTACTCAGGTGGCGTGCTTACGGGCGCGAGCTGCAATAAGACCTCGGGGGTTGGAGTGGGTTTGGTGAGAGGGAAGATAGCATTCTGTATTGGCACATTAAGAAGCAGTGGGGATACTTCATTGGGTGAAGACGGCTACGTTCGTGTCCAGCGCACCTTCTCCGGAGACAGCAAGATGCATGCTGTGTCGAGCTGTACGCGACCTGGTCTACCTTTGACGTCTCGGCAGCCCTACTTCGTCTCCGACACCAATACATCCGCTCCTCCCTTTACCTCCACCCCCTTCGTCACAACTGTAACGCCTTGGGTTCCCCAGGTCACGACAGTGGCGCCTTCAACTAGCCCGGGCATAGACATGCCTTCAACAGCAGAAACCGTGGTGGATCAAACTGCCAGCGCAAGTGCGGCATTGGGCTCTGAGCTCCACCATCACAAAGGGTGGCGTTGATCAAGTGACAAGCGCCACATCAGGTTCGATCGCGTAAATGAGGCGGTGAACACGGACGCAGCCGATGACTCACTCGATTCGACGGAGACACCTGCAGCAACTGCGATTGTCCAAGTGTTGCTGGTGATGCGCTTTACACCGCAACAAGCACGGGCAACTGGGGCTATGCTTCCGATACTAGAGATTTTCATGATGGATTAACCATGCCGTACTTGAAGCTGCTGGTAACGACAGCAGCATTCACCCCCTGCAAGATATTAATAGCCGACTGCCCAGCCTCAATCTTGGCGCCCAAAACGCCACGTCTGACGCTCGACTTCGACGATCTTGATGCTGTTATTCTCGGGACAGGAGACCGAGATGACCTTGCCGCCAGGTTGGCTGGGTGGCTCCCTCCACTTCTGTATGAGCAGTCTCGCGGCCCACCAACACAGCGAGCGAGTCGTGAAGACGGTACCGTCCGGCGAGGCACCGACGTAGTCGTTCTCTTTGTCCATTGGGGCGACGACCAGCTCTAGCAGCTTGGGTACCATGCCACAAACACACTGGCGTTGACGACGCGTTGTAAGTGCGGCTGGCGTTAAGCCGTTTAAGGCGCTGTGATTTATTAATATTTGATATGAATTAACGTATCGCACTTAGTGCACTGGACATTTAAATCGTAGGGTTGAAACGAGTTATTTAATCCTTTCGACATGGCTTAAGGCCAATAGACAGGCCCAACCATTGGCCTGCGGCCAAAACCCATGGCCTTTGCCAGCACAGGACTCCTGTGGGCGATTGGTCGTATACCAGATTGGGGGTCTGTAGGCCAATTTACTGATTTTCCACGCTTCGAACAGTTTATACACTGCCGTTTATTGATCATTGAATCAGAATTGGCACCGTCGCTTCATTGACAAATGGCACCTGTCTAACTGGGTTCTGCTGGTTACACGGCTGTTTTCTTATCTTCACATCGTGGGGTTCTACAAGCTTTGATCTTCGCGCACGAAGGTCGGTGATGCATCAATACATGTGCAGACGGTATGCATCCATCAGAACTTCCTCTAGCGCAAGGTGCTGTGTGACCCCGTCACACGTAAATTGTAAATACTGTACCTCATTTTGTATGTGAGCTACATGTATTAATACCTTTTAAAATTCAGAAACGAGCACTATTTCTAAGCGTATGTGCACATGTACAGTACAACGTATCACACCTTCAAATGATAAAAACTGACCGATTATGGGTCAAATTGTTTCCTTATTACTTCAATCATTTGCTCTCTTCAAGTTTGATACACAAAGCTACAATTCAGCTTTACCTATAGAGATTATAACACTGGCCATCCATCCAGTCGATCAGCAGCCAATATGGACGATGGCGATGCTCCGCGCGCGGCGCAGATCTCGCAGGCGGACATCATCGAGCGCCAGGCTGAGTCCATCGCGCGGCTGAAGAAGCAGCTGCAGAAGGGCAGCGAGTACAAGGAGCAGACCAAGTCCAAGCTCAAGGAGGCGGCGGCGCGGCTGAAAGAGTACCGTCTTCGCGTTGAAACGCTTTTACGCTCGGAGGAAACGCTGAAAGAGCAACTGCAGACTGAGCAAGCTGCGCATGCTAAAACGAAGAAGCAGCATAAAACCACGTTGAATCAAGTAAAAACGAGAAAACAAACTCACGCAGCGACTCAAACGGACGAGAAAAAGAAAATAACGCGTACGAGTCAGACGCTGTTAAGTGGGGATGTGGAACGAGTTAACAAGAAGACAATGGTGGACAGTGAAGTACAGACGGTGGACATCGCAATAGACACATTGACGTCCAAAAAACGAGGCAGAACGTCCACTGCGACGCAAATGGACCAAATCGTGCCGAAACTCTCGCGACATTTATTAAAGGAGACGCTCGAGGACACTTTAGCCATAAGTAAAGAGCCGCTCGAGCTTCTGGATGGACATATGACTACGTTCCCGCACCAAACAAGTGCAGCGTTAGACGCTGAATTGGCTTTTAGTGATTCCGACGCTGAAAGTGGCGAAACGCTAAAACTCGATAGTATGGCGGAAACTGGCGCAAGCGTCGAGTTGATCCCGTTTGAAGGTTTGATATCGAATGAAATCGACAAGGAATTGGATTTTAGCGACGATGAAATGGCTGAAACGACGAATAGTGGAGATTCATCGACAGTAAAAGCACAGGACGGTGCTGAAATGTCGCTGTTAAGTGGAATTGATGCAACGCTGCAGAGTGAAATTGACAAGGAACTCGAAAGCAGCAGTGACGACGAGAGTGTTGAAACGCGTAAAAACGCTGAAATTGCTGACGAAATCGATAAAGCTTTGGAATCCAGCGACGAAGAAGAAGAAAAAGAGAAAACTAATGTCACGGCGGTAGATACTGGTGACAGCCATGGGTGCACTTTAATGTCGATTGATGATGAGCTAGACGACGAATTTGCAGCTCTGGAGGCGGATTCCGAGCCAGAGAATTCAAAACCTGCGAAAGATAATTTAAACCCCGCAGAGTCCAGTTCCAGCAGCTCGAGTGACAGTGACTCGAGTGACAGTAGCGACAGCGAGTCGGGTAAAGACGGAGACGACCCCATGACTGGAATTGCCGATAAAACACCCGATCGAGAGGCTTGTACCACCGATTCTGGGGCGCTCACCAGACCAGTCACGGCCATGTACTCGCCTGTTGTCGAGGCCAAGTCGTCGTGTCCAATCCCCGAGCCTCTGCAGCTGTCAGCAACGAACCACAAGGAGGACACGAGTGCTGCTAGCTCGCAGCCAAAGCCGGTCCAAAAGAGCATTTCAGACGACCTCCAACCTACCACGACAGTCGATGATACGGTGGTGGTACAAGGCGCAAACTCCTCTTCTACTAACGATGACAACTCCAGTATTCCCGTGTCAAAGCCAGCGGCCTTAATCGAACAGGATAAACCTGTGCCTGACACCATAATGCAGCCGCCAGAAAGAGCAACCGAACGTGGTGAATTGGTAAGGAATGTACAGGTTTCTGAGCCTCCATCTGTACCGAAAGACACGTCTCCAAAGAGATCCCGGAAAGCTGATGAAGCAGCGCTAAGTTCGGCTCAATCTAGCGCTCAAAAGAAAGCAAAACGCGAGGAAGTTTCGACTCAAATCAAAATAAAGAAACCAGAGAAAGAGTCCAAGGACGAGCGGAGGATGAAAAAGTCGCTCGCGTTATTTACACAAGCCATCGTTTTAAACAAAAACGAACAAGCTGACAGCAAGTATGCACGACGCACCATCACCGTCTTGGTAAGCCAGAGCTCCAGATTCCTGGATACTCTCGCGCATGTGGTACGTAAAAAAAATGTGTTTCTACGGTGTATGATACACTCATTTTAACGTTCAATAACGTTATATTCAGATGACCCTATGTCAGATTCTAGCTGACTCTTTTCGAGCGTTGCAAATCCCCCCGATCGACGTTGTTCGTGGCGCTCTCGGGGTCTTTCGGACCCCAAGATCGCGGCGTTTACTGCAAGAGAGCAAGCTGGGGCTGAGTGGGCTGGTCCATGAAGTTCTTCTAAGACTCTTGCGTCAAGGCGACACCCTGAAATTGTCAAATGTTGACGACTGTTTGCTACATCTCCGAGGCTTTTTGGTCGAGAACCGCGCACACTTTGGCGGCTTTTTATCCTCCAACATGACGCAAGTACACGGTACAGCACAACACGTTAACGTGAGCCACGACAAGGTGTTTTTAGCGCATATTTGCGCGCTTCATACACATTTGTGTCGGTCGACGCGGCAGTTAACGCGCGCTCGCGTGCTGCTTTTCGACATTATTCGAGACAATCCGGACATCCGCGGCTTGTACTTTGCAGTGGTGATGCTAGAGATCTACCCGGACATGTTCGAGCGCGAGTTCGACGACCAATGCGTGGAACGGCGAGATGTACTTAAGGAAACGCTGCAACATGCGTTTATTGTCATTTCGAGCACAGCTGCCGAAAAGCAGCAACTCCTACTGCATCAGTCAAGTTTCACCATGTTGCATCGTATCGCCGATGCCATCCATAAGCCCGAGCTGGAACAAGTCGACGGGACGGATCTGGCCGTACAAAAACTGTACGTCCAGAAACTGTACGACCAATTGGCCGTACAAAATACGGACTACTTTGCACTCGCTAAGTGTATGGAAATATGTACGACCGTGTCCGAGGTTGACTTGGTAACTGACGTCTTCAGCGCCGAAAAGTGTCGAGAACTCTTTTCCACCGCGAATACTGAAGCTAAAACCGGTATTTTATCGGTTGTCGGGCATATAGCCATGACTATTGCGAGCGAGCAGTACGTGGAGAGCGTCATCGACTGGCTGTACGAACTGGTATCTTTTCCCACGAGTGATAAAGTTTCAGAGGATCATGTCCAGCTACTCGTCACAAGCTCAAAAGTGTGCATTGACCTAATTTTGGCCTATTCTGCAGCCGCAGGACTTAAATCCAGACGTCGTGTGTTGTGTGCGATAGTAAAGTGGTTCGATGCGACCCCAGCCGACCAACTTCTTCACTTGCCAGCAGCTTTTCTGAGACGACTTCGCATTGCAGTCGTAAGCGCTCGACCGCAAATAGTTCCAGTTTAAAATAAAGAATCTGAAACGGACCTTTTTTCCAACTTGGACCACATCTCATATAACCACCCGATATTATAGTGGAAGAGAAGTCTCATTCCTCATAACTCGCTGGCTTGCGGTAGTTTAGTATCCTACCAAGTGCTGATCTAGCAGGGATCAATGGATCTGTCGGATGATCCCGTAGGCCAACCAGATGAGAACGATTCTAGTGAAGAAGAAGCAAGAGATGAGTCAACGGAGGTCTCTGTGGCGTTGGAGCAACAGTCGGAAGAGAAAGATGTGCAGTTAACTATTGAAGAAAAATCCGATGAAGATGATGCATCGAAGAATCGAGAATCAACTGATCGAGTGGAAATATCTGTGTATGAACAAGTGGAGAGGTGCGAGAAGGAAGACGTACTTGTTGCCAATGAAGAAGACGAAGATGCACCTGTTGCCAATGAGGATACATTCGTCGAGCCGCACCAAGCTTTGGAGGTTGCTGCAGAGACGGATGTTATCCCTTCGGAATCCCCTCGACCGTCACCACGACAGAAAGCACTGACGTCTTTTTCACGAGGGGCTAGTAGAGTTGCCTCCTTCCGTCCTGGGATGACGAGAGATGAAAGGCTAAAATCCATGGTTAGTCAAGCTGAAGGCAAAGCGAAAAAAGTGCGTCTTGGCGAGGGGATAAAATCCGTTTTCCAAGCGAGTATGCACGACATTGGCGCCCTGGGTATCGGCATGCAACTGTACTTCATGCTGACGAAATATCTAAGTGTGACGTTTCTCGTTATGGGCATTATCTCTCTCCCTGCGATCATGGTGAACTCGTACGGCCATGGGATCACCAGCAAGATGGCGGATCCACTTCAACTGGCCTACTCTTCCATCGGTAACGGAGGTGTTAACCCCGATACAGCCGCTACCGCGCGTAGTTGTCTGCCTCTAGGAGACATTGACTGTACGTGGGATACGGTGGATACTCCACTGACGTCGAATCCGAAGACTGTGACGTGGATTGTCACGCTTACAGATGTTTTGTACTCGTTTTTCTTCATGTGTTTCCTGCTCTTCTACTCGTATCGAGCTACGAAGGCTATCAAGGAGCATCAGAACAAACATCTAACACCTGCCAGATACGCTGTGATGGTGCGTGGATTGCCCAAAGACGCGACGGAGAAGCAGATTCTGGATCATTTCAATAATCTGTACGACCTACATAAGGACGAAGAGTATCGTAAGCTCTGGTTTGGCTGTTGTTGGGTTAGAAGGCACAAAGTGAAGCGCTCGAGATCCGAGAAGGCGGTGAATAGGAATCTGGTGTCCAATGTGGACCATTTGGAAGAATCTGCGACGATTAATAAGGACCTTTATCTCAACACATGGATAGCAGAAGTCAGTGTGGCGCATCCGACGGGAGGACTCTTGCGGACTTATCTGTCCTCCAAGCATCTCGGAGACAAGAAAGAGGAGGTCGAAGCGCTTATCCAGACGCTAGAAGCCCAGAAAAGCCTCGCTCCCATGGATTTTAATGCTGCAGATGAGAAATTAATCCACTCGTCGAGAAAGAAACTGGATAAAATCCAAACTCGACTTGAAAAAACCCAGCGGAGAATCGATTGTATCAAGGATATTCTTCCGGAATCCGACGATACAATAGACAAGAAAATGAATGGCAACAAGACGAAGACTTCCACTTCAAAGGACAAGCTAGCAGCTGCTGCGAAAGCTGCTAAAATCGCAGCGACAAACACCCAGCAAGGGTTTAATTGGGAGGCCTGTGAGTGCGCCTTTGTGGTGTTCAATAATCTGGAATCCAGACGTCGTTGTCTTCTAGATTATCGTCAATCCACACGCTGGTTGGCGCGTAATTGGCAGCCTGAAGAACTGCAATTCCGTGGAGAATTTCCGCTTATTGTGACGAGAGCTCCCGAGCCCTCGAACATCTTGTGGGAAAATCTAGAAGTCACCAACCGAGGACGCTTTTATCGCCAATTAGTGACGAATTTGGTGACAATTGCGCTTCTGGTGACGTCATGTGCCATCATTTCGGCAGCCAAGACGACACAGGACCAATTCGCGAGCAAAACGCCGCCTGAAGGTCTGTGTGATCGCGCTCTCCCAGCCGTATATTACGCAGATACTTCGTTCTCTTACAATGCCCAAGAGAAACCCATTATCTGGTCTCTGGCTTGGGATGCAAATCAAACATGCACACCTGGAACATCCGGAGATAATCGGTATCACATCGCGTATACGAATGGGATTCTAAATGAGTTCGATTCCTCCAGATTTTCTTATGGAACAATCTATCCGAATCCGAATCGATGTGTGGATCCGTGTATCTCGGAATCGAGTACCGAGGTGTGTAATACTCTCCCGTGCTTTTACTATCAGGACCTGGTAATGGTGGAAGGCAGGGCTTGTCAAGCATACGACGCGAGTCATGTGCTGTACTGCTTCTGCTCGACCCAACTGGCTACAAGTCTCAAGAACCATGGCTTCGTGAACGGTGCAAGGAAGCTTTGGGATGTCCTCCCATGTCGTGGATTTACCAAAGATTATCTGGTCAAGAACGCATTCACTCTTCTCGCTGCTGGCATCGTGGTAACTGTGAATTTCTTACTGAATAATATCTTACGGATGTTCGCAGTGTTCGAACGACACACTAGCGAATCTACCAGGACAATCCGTGTGGCAGTTCGGATGTTTGGTGCGCAGTTCCTTAACACTGCACTCATCGTTATCATCGTGAATGCTTCCTTCGGATTAAGCTCGGTTCCGGTAGCCAAGGAGCTTTTGGGAGGTAAATACCGGGACTTTGAACGTGGCTGGTATCCCACAGTAGGCATGGGTATCGCTACAACGATGTTACTTAACGCCTTCTTGCCTCAATTCACGCTGTTCATGCAGATGTACGTCGTCTCTCCTATTCGTCACTGGTACAAGCGTCGCTCTATCCGTACACAAGCCAAGATGGACAAGCTGTACGCAGGTCCAACGTTCGATATCTCGTTAAGATATCCGATGGTTCTTAACTCGGTGTTCGTAACAATGGTATTCTGCGGCGGCTCACCGGTGTTACTCTTCATTGCCGCGGTAGCTGCTGCGGGGGTGTACTGGTTCGATAAATTATCCATTCTCTATCTGTACAGTATCAAGACGACGTACGATGAGATTCTCGGTGAAGTAACACTTGAGGTTCTTCCGTGGACACTAGCGTTACATTTGGGATTCTCCGCGTGGATGTACGGCAACGCAGAGCTACTGAAAGGCACAATGCTGGATCTTCCGTGGCTCTTAAAATCCGTTGGACTGTCGTCTGTAGTCAAAGATCATCCGGACGCGACGTCGGATGAATTGTACTATATTTTGACCGAGAACCTCGAGAAGTACGACGTGCTGGGCCCCAATGGATTCTTGGTGAAGATTGTGTACTCACACGTGATGCTGATGACTGTACTGTGCTGTATCGTCTCGATCGGACTCTTGTTGTACACCATTTTTGGTACGATCGTGTTCGTCGTACTGGGACAGATGTGGGCGGTCATAAAACATGCGTTATTGTTCCCGATAGAGCAGATCCAGTCGCTATTCTCAAAGGAGGATGACGGTCCGAAGGAGACGGATACTCTTGAAGAAGAGACGTTACCGGTAACATTGTTACCTGAGTTTACCGAACCTTTTCTGATGTCGGTATCGAGGAAACACCGACCGGATGAAGGGCTTGGATTCCAGAGAATTAAAGTGGATAACACGTACGAACTTACGTGTGTGTGGCCGGAAGATATGGTGCATGAGAACGGGGTGGAACGAAAGGGTGGAGAGCGTAAATTGACGTGGGAAGTCATGCAAGCTCCGGTCAAGTCGTACGCTATTGAAGCTAACGAGAAGTATCGACACAGTGTGAACATGGTGCTGGAGGCGTGGCAGATAATTAAGCGAGTAAGGGATTTGGCACATGTTCCGGAACCAGTATCCGTAGGGAAAATCATCCCGATGGTCGAGAATGTAGTCACGGAGAAGAATAATGCAGAGGAAGGAGACCCACGTACTGAAGATACCAGACAGGGAGAGATAATTGCTGTCGAAGAATACGGTGAAAAAGAGGAGGAAGTAGAGGATAGTGAAGCTGAAGACGAAAGACCTTAAGATCAGACTGAGGATTGAGCAAATCAACTTCAGTAAATGAGATGATTCACAATATTTCAATGGAAAGAAATATCTGAATATTAAAGTGGTCATATTCCAATACTTCTCATTGCAACCAGTAACATTTGAAAGATCATCAGTAAAACCACTGGCAAAGTCGAAATGCAAGGTATAGCTGAAAGTGAAGGTGTTAGGATCAGTCAACGTTGATCGGTGAAGTCTTGCCACACACTAAATACTTCTGCTCGGAAAATAAATCACCTTACAATACGATTACAGACTGCTTAAACTCCAGACCCTTATAAAAGTGTTAAAGCAATGTACCATTAAGCATAACTGATTCCCGCCTAAGGCAATAAATTCCCGGCAAAACTGTTGGCTGTTTGAATCTCCCGCCCATTTGCCATCGCTCACTTCGCAAGATCAGCAGGGACATAAGGAGCGACGCTGCTGGCGTTCGTGCGGTGACAGACGTTGGTGTGCGCTGGAATGCCTGCTGATGGCAACGTTAGCTGCTAGACACCTTGCAACGGCCCCCGATTATTGCATGCGATAGTGAAGGTATGGACATCTAACATGTCCAGTTTGCTGATGCCGGCCTGTGTATCGGGCGGATGAATGCGACGAAGTCCTCACGCTTGTCGCTCAGCGACGTCCGCTGTCGTGAATCAAGTCTAGCGCATACTCGAGGCAAACGTCTCTGCAGTGGCTTACGGACTCAGTAGTCTTTACGAACTTGCTGCTGAAATGGCGAACAAGAGCGCCTGCAGCTACACTGATGTGGTGGAACAAGCACACCCGCAGTTGAGCAATTATATCATTAAATCCCGGTTCTATGATCGTTTCAAAGGTCACAGCTCCTCGAATGCAGTCTTGCTTGGCACAGCTAAGGTGGCGGCACAGTATCCACGGGCACGCACCTGTTTTACAGAAGGATCAGCAGCCCTCCGCAAACTTTATAATCATGAAAAAGAACGAGGCGGAGCGCTGCGAAATATTTTTGGAAAGGTGATTTATTTTCCGAGCGGAGAAACATGTGCTCAAGAACGAGACTTGACGCTGATAAAGGTGCCCAGCCTGGGTAATCGAGGGCGTTCTTGGAAGAGGCGATGAGGCTATTTAACCGAGTCGATACATAAGCTGGATGATGACGCTGTACAATATCGAAACAAGGCATACACTTAAATTGCGTCTTTATTGTGCAGCGTCAATAAGAACAGTATTGTGTAAGACTACTGAGGCGAGACGCTTTTCAGGAATACATTCTCTCGATGGGATCTTTATAATGAACTCGCTCCGTACCTGCACTGACAACTGGCGTACGCAATGGTAGCTTGAACTGCCGCATAATCGAGCTGACATTGAGCGGATCGAGAGCGCCAAATGGTCCACGAGACACCATTTGTAGTCTAATTAGAAGTATTTTTGTCTTACATAGAATTTTTTAGTTGCTACCTGGTGGAACTGAGGCACGATGTTAGTTACAGCAGACGATTTTTTTGTGAGAAAAAATATCATTTTTGATCGGTGTCGCCGTCAAACTAAACGTTCATTTCTCTGTTGTTAGAAAAGAACTAAAAATATGCAAATTGCGGGATTGGTCGGTGGTTACCCAACCTCTTCGTTCGAGGTATAAACACCGTAGTTTTGTAAATGATTTTAATGATTGGACATTGATTTGACTAAAATTGTTTTAATGTTTTTTTTTTGTATGTGACGCGGTTTTCACACCGAAATCTCCTTTTATTGAGAATTTTACCTAGTAATAAACAACATACAGCTATTTACAGACGAACCCTTCCATAGTCATAGTACTTGAGACCAACGTTGTACTCCTATTTAAGGGTATTCGTGATGGTTAAACCAAGTGTACCCTCTAAATGGTACAGCCAATTGATCTATTTTGTTGTTTGCCTTCCCGGCTCTCACCCACTCTTCAGTGTAATAATATGTCAGCCAAACCTATAAGCAATTTACTTTCAGCTATTCTATCATAACGTTGTAGATTTTCTAGCATTATGCCCCCATCCCAACTACAGCTAGCTGAGCGGTCTCATACAACCTTGCTGCTGCTCCTTTGCAGGTCGCTGATCGAGGCGTCCACGGCGGCCTTAACCCCTCTAGCCCCGCTTCCTGTATTCTACAGGATAAAAAGTTTCGTATCCTGTATTCTACAGGATAAGGATATTGGCAAATCGGGTTCATACTTAATTCAAGGACAACTATACAAACTTCAAGTAATGCTGCCAAATATAAAGTTTGACAGTGATGTAGCTAACCTCGGGCTAATAATTCGTGGCCAGAAATTTTTTAGAGATTTAGAGAGCGCGCCAAATTTCGCGCCATTCACGATTTAGACCAGGGGGAGGTAGCACCATGCAGAAGCGAAGAGTTCGGCGACTTACATGGGGATAACTGTGGACCAGACTCAAGAAGCTAGGGTGGCAATTTGAGCGACCAAAGGGGCTAGCTACCGAGAATCGCTACTTTACACCTGGTGGATGGAAGAAAAGGCCAAACGCAACACACCTTGTCGACTATTTCGACGGAGCTGACGAAGTATGGCAACACGTGCCAGTTGATGGTACGAATCGGCTCATTTTGATTTTGGTATATTGCTATTAACTCATATCACAGCTATCTATGACATGCCGCCTGCCAAACGACAAGCCACTACGAGCTCCCCTCTATCAATTCCACTGGGTGCCCCCGAGCCGCCAGTCAACTCTCCCGTGATTCCGCCTGCCCAGTCGCCTGCGAGGACGCCTGCCCAGTCGCCTGCGCAACCGCCTGCCCAGTCGCCCTGCGAAAACCCCCGCCCAAGTCGCCCTGCGAAGCCCCCCTGCCAAAGCACCTGCCAAGTCACCTCGGAAGACGCCTACAAAGTCAGCTGAAAAGACGTCTGCCAAGTCACCCACCAATACGCCAGCCAAGTCGCCGGCTAAGTCCCCCGCCCAAGCTCCTGCTAAGGGCCAGACGCCAAGAAAGAAACGTGCGCGTAAAGAGGTCGCTGCGTCTCCTATACCGTCACTACGTCCACTACGGTCGTGTACTGTTCGCGCAGCAGAAGTGAACATATCTGTTGGTGATGACCGTTTAAGCTCTGGTGACGAGGACGACTTCCAAGTCGATGAAGGCGATGAGTCCGACATTGAAGGTACATGTGAGACTTCTGCCGGTGAAGAGAAAGAAAACACCAGCGATGAGGAAGATGCAGTCGATCTCTCAGCGGGAACTCCATTCGACCAGATGAACAAGGACCGGCTGAGCGAACACGCGAAAACAGGCTGGACGACCTACTTCGAAGATTCATGTGAGTGCTTTCGTGTACTATACAGGATAACGAGTGTCCTTTGCTTCGGCTATCCTGTACTCGACACTAATACCCATATATCGTTGCTATGTAGGCGCTTCCCTTCAGCTGCCATCGGCAGAGCTTACACGCTGCTCCGCCACACCTACGGAGTTGGCTACTGCACTGGGGAGTAACTTGAAAGGATTGTTTTTCCTGTTCCTGCCTAAATCGATGTGGATGTCTATCGCTACGGAATCAAATTGGTACCAGCTTCAGTATCGAACGCAGGCAGCGGACGAAATAATGGCACGACAGCGACAGCTCAAGCTGAGGCGACCTGAGTACAAGATGAAAACTGTACAGCAAGTCCAGGCTGAGCAACAATCGTTCAAGCCAATACAAGCGCATGAGCTGGTACATTTCATTAGTTTACTGTGTGCCCGAACCCTTTGCCCGCACCGTGAGAAGCTGTCGAAGCATTGGGCGGTGGATGTACAAGGCGCGGTTCATAAAGGCACATTTGGGCGATACATGTCGCGAAAGCGATTCGAAGAGATCGTACGATTTTTGCATTTTAGCGACAACGGTCATCCTGACGCTGTCAAGTTCAAGACGTGAAAGATTAAGCCTGTCGCGGATACGATCAACGCAACGTTCAAGCTGGGGATGACAGTAGGGCAACGAATCGCCTTCGACGAAGGAATGATACCGATGAGTAGCAAGTTCAACCCCATGCGGCAGTTTCTTCGAGAAAAACCTTATTCATGGGGTAATAAGTGCTTCTTGACTTGCGATGCAGAGAGCGGGTACTGCTACAGGTAATGGATCACTTAGTCTACAGAAAATTGTATTATCCAGGTACTAAGTAATTATGCTTGTGTCTTATTCTGTATAGGGCCGAGATATACCAAGGAAAGCTCAACAGTGACTGTGCAGACCTGAACCAAGGCCCCAACGCTGTGATCCGTAATGTTGAAGAGGTGCTGGAAGGACTACCAAGGAAGCGTCTGATTATCACCGACCGTTTCTACTCAAGTGTGCTGCTGTCGTCTATCCTTCTACAACGTGGACTCTACCATGTCGGCACCATTCAAACGAATCGGTGAGGCTACTGTAAAGACATTCCGTACAAGCAAGCTAAACGACCAAAGACGATGGCGAGAGGGGTATACCGGATTGCACAGTCCAAGACTGAGCCGAATTTGATTGCAGTGTCATGAATGGACAACCGTCCTGTACACTTCATTGCTACGGAGTGTAGTACCCGACCGACAACCCTGTCAAGACGCGCAGGTGCTGAAGTAGTTGACGTGCCAGCTCCTCAACTCGTGAAAGACTATCAAGATGGCATGGGAGGAGCAGATATTCATGACCAACTGCGCTTGCAAAGATACTCGATCCAGGTATCACTTGCTCTTTTCTTATCCTGTATTATACATGACAATATAAACTAACGGTCGAATGTTTTCCTGTATACTACAGAGAGCGAT